TTATACTTAGACATGCATGGCTTAATCTTTGAGACAAGCATATGACTACTGGCAGGATCAACCAGGTATCTTTTTTTGTGAAACACGTGGAGGAATTCGATTAGGTATTCCCCCAACGGTTTTTTCTATTTTAGTACTAGTGTACTAATCTGCATGATTGTTTGTAAATCTTAACTATATATATTCGCGATCGAAATTGTTAACGGAGATTAATTATATTAATATAATTTCCCAATTTAGGAAGCGATAATAATAGGATTTACATCGACATGCAGTACATTTCATAGTCTAACCAAAAAAACGTGTAAACAATAATAAAAATATTGTAATACGTTAACTTGATCGACACTTGAATGCTTCCTGTTGCCCAAATAATTGCCTTCAATATTTTCCTGAATAAAAAATTCCAAAAAAAAAAGATTGATAAAAAAATTTTTTTTTTTTTTAGAAATTTCTACCCTCTGAGTGAATTTACATACGAGTATCTTCGAAAATTTTCGAGAATTCTCGCTGCATTATTCACAATTGTTTTGCGAAAAAAATATATCCGTTAGATATGAAATACACACAATTTGCCCATATAACATTGAACAATTTATATTAATTGCCATTTTTGATTTATTTTTTATTTTATCACTTTTTGAGAGAAAAAATTCAAGAACTTCCCCCCTCACATAATGATAAAATTGCGTCGTTAAATTTTTTTTTTAATTAAAAAAAAAATTTTTTAAAAAAAAATTATTTTTTATGATAGAAAAAATGAATTGAAAAGTAAGCATTAGTTTGCTCCTTTTTTCTTTTCCTTCTTTCCTCACAATGTAGTTGGATCTGTACTGTTTTTTGAATTTTGTTAATAAAATTTTATTGAAAGAGACATTATGAAAAGATGATGAAACATGTGGATTATTTACAATTTTTTTATTTATTTTAATTGATCCTAATTGGTTATATCTTGTAAAAAAATCTATATATAAATAATAAAAATGATAAAAATTTAATTTAATTATTTTTATTTTTTGATTTAATTTCATTTAATTACGTATTTAATTTCATTTATTTAATCTTAATTACGTATTTAATTTCATTTTATTTATTTTAATTAAATTTAATTATTTATTTTAACAAAATATAGCTCGATGTCCAAGTTGTTATCATAAAAAAATAATACGATTAAATCACTTTATTTCAATTTTATGTATAAAAATTTAAAAGATTTACACGGGATTAAATTTTTTTAATAAATTTTTTATTTAATTTATCTATTATTGTTCTGATGGTCGGAACGAGGTAAAAGAGTGTTAGAACGCTATTTTATTTACGTGTTATTCTAGATAAACTTTAATTTTTATTCTCGTATAATATTTCTAAATAAATAAATAAAACAAAAAAAAACTAAAGTTTATTGGAGTAAGACTCCGTTGGATTTTTTTTTTAAAAAAAAAAATAACAACTATCAACCACGTGAGCGTGTTGATTTAAAATGTAATTTCATATTATTTATTTCTTAGAATCCTGAGAACAATAATCTATTATATATGATTATTAGCAACCAAAATGAATCTTAATAAGTGACAAGGAATGGAAAATAAAAGTAATGAAGAAGTTACTATATTATCTTTATATGATAAGTTGCATTATTATTCAGAACGAAATCACTTTTCAAATCATTACCTTTAATTTCTTATGAATTTAAAATTATTTTTTAAATTTTCGAAAGATCGAAAATGGATAGAATTAAGGTAAAAATGTAGATTACGATTCTCTTTTCGCATCTTACAAAACATATATATGTGTATGCATTTAGAATTAGATTTTAAATAAGAATTTGAATCATAAAATTAATATTTAATAATTAAATAAAATAAGAATAATACAGCTCTCCAAAACAATGATTCATTTTTTACGTTCTGATCTTTAACCACCTACATCACATATAGCAAATAAATGATAAAAATGATAAAGAGAGATGAAATAGGATATTATTATTTAATAAAGGAATTATATAAAGATATAAATAACAGGTATAAATATAGAGCAAAAGATTTACTGATCGATAGGCAAGTGGACCCAAACGAAATATAGTTTCAACAATACCAGTCGTGTATCTTGATCCGATGGAACATAATTTTGTGAAAATTTTCTATCTAACGATACAAAGAAACCAAAAAAGAAAAGAAATATCATGTGCTAACTTACTAACTCATGTTATCATGTACCATTGTTGAACTCCCATTATATGCTCATAATAATTTCAAATAAAATTGGAAATGGTTGTCCGTTAACATTCTTTTATCGTATCGATAATAAATATTTCTAAATATGTAAAAATATGTAAATGTGTAAACAGAAATGCATAATTACCTAAACTTTTTGATGAATAATCTTCTGAATTAGATAGATTCATCGTTTTTTACAAAATATTATCGTAAATAATGAAATAAATGTATAATATTAAAATATATTTTTTTATCTAATCTCTAAATAATCATAATAAAATCCAAAATCTTATCTGTTCTTTTAAATTAATATTAATAAATTAATAAAAAAATTTTAAAAATTTCTAAAAATTTTTATTGTAATTTTCTTGCTTGCCAGTTATTTAGATATTACATTATTGAAAAAATATTTCCTAAAATTCTATTTATTGGGCTCAAAATTTTTTTTCTTTTATTTACAAATGGTGAGAACTAACATATATACATAATCATTATAAAACCAAAAATCTAATTAAGTTCAATAAATTCTATCCATTCCTAAACGTTTTCCTTCGCTTGTTGTAATTCGTTTTCTAACCGTTCAATATTTGCTTCTTTATGTTGCTCTGAGTTCTCAGTTGTTGATAATGATTCCAATGATAACTTAGCGTTTTTATTATGGATGAACCTGAAATATATATATGTATATAAATGAACTAAATGAATTTCAAGATCTATTGTCATTAATAATTTTTTCAATTTATTTTAATTTTATCCATTTTGTCTTGCAGTTTAATAAATTCCGCAATGATATCTGTTTGAATCTCACTATGGCTGTATCTAGTTCTCTAGTTCATCTCATCATCACGATCACCACCATCATCATTGTCATCATCATCATCATCGCATCACGATAACCATCATCATCACTATCATAATCACGATCACCACCACCATCATCATCATCGTCATCATCGCGATCATCATCACCACCATCATCATCGTCGCCATCACCACGATCATCATCAACAAATATTGGAGCAAAATTTTGTTCACTGCCTTGCCATCAGCTGGCTGAAATGAAATTTGATCGTTTGGGGCGTTGGTTGTAATTTTTTGAAGAGAAGAACGAAATTCTTCAATACTACGATATGAAATCTTTGTGATCCTCTCCAGTTGTAGTAATCTATAACTATTGAATCAAAGCCATTCTCTTAAGGTCATCATTCAGAATGTTTACAAAATTACTTTGAAAAATTACTAACAGATATTTATTGTACTTCTCGATCTTTTCGATGTAAGGTTCGTTGCTCAGTATTTTGCTCAGGCTTTTAAAATAATTTAATACACTTGATGTTAAAGCGAGTTCGTTCAGACAGATAAGGGTCAGAAGTCGTATCAACCGAAGGATAATTGTCGGGTAATACATCTTCCTATAAATCATCGTTTGAGAAATTTTTTAGCTTGAAAGGATAAATATTTAACTTGTTCAGAAAATCTACAGCATAATTAATGAATTCCTTTGATTGATTTATTGCTTCAATCACTAAGTTAGTACGGAGAGATTCTACGAATAAAGCAAGTCGCTTGGCAACTTCTTGGACTGTAAAATTGTTATAAGATCTTTCGTTCTTTGTTATTTCCCAATGAAATTTATCAATAACCCATTTGCACGTAAAACAAATATGCATTTTAACATTTTTGCAAAGTTATAGGGATCAAATTCTCTATCTAACCAAGCTTTATAAATGATTTCAACATATGCGTGCCTAGGAAGTTTGATGATTGTAATCTCTGGACAACTTGAACGATAACGAAAGTGACAATGTACCAGCCTTTCAAACCAAAACCTTTTTTTACCCGGAACATATTTACTTTTTTCCTCAATAAGTAAGCGAAGAAGGTATATTGTATGTAATTGTCGTGTTACAATGAATTGAAGACATGCAAGCGTAATACGTATTGATGGCGTGGGAATCACATGATGTTTCCGGAAATTATGCTTCTATTGTGTTTTTATCATGCATTTCGCTCATATGAGATTGTCAAAAGTAATTTTCCGTTTATCTGGGCGATCTTGTACTTCGACGAAAAAAATTTCTTCGAAATTTTTGTTGATTTTCTATTTGTCGTGAACATTTTTACGTGGGTCTATAAATCATAGGCTAATTCACAGAGCCTCATTAGATGCCAATACTCAATATTAATGGACTTTGGTCGAATTTTCAACCATATATTTAATGCCCGAAACTCTGCAATGGTATCATTACGCCTCTGGAAAGATTGTATGCGTTTATGAACTCCATTTAGGTCACTCTTCAAATAAGCTAAATATAACTGGAACTCTCCCGTTAGTCTACGCCATTTCTCAGATTTCTTTGAAGATTGAGATTTGTTTTTCGTGGTGACATCCAATGCATCGTTAAGTAATTTATGTAGTTCTTTTTCTTTTAGGGTACTTTCATCGATATTCATCGTATCTACTAGTATAATTACTCTACAAGAATGTAAAAGGTAGCATGACGAATCATTAATATTATCTTCTTTATCAAAATTATTGTTTAGCATGACTGAAACCTCTTTGAATTTTCCAAGCGATTGTAAGTATTTGCGGCGTCATTAAACTGACCATTCTTCTTATAGACTACCAAAAGCTCTTCTGGCACGTGATCTTTCAGAAGCTCGATTTGTTCCTCTTGTGTTGGAAGAATTGAAAGGGCTTTATCGCTCATTTCTAGTTCATCCTTTTGTCTTAAAAATGAATATTTTACAATTAAATAAATATATAAAAATATAAAATGTAAATAACACAACCTACTTTTTTTTCTTTTCGAATTTAACAGAATTAATTTCATCGGTAACATTATCAGGTTGTGATTGAGGATTTTCTAATTTAACGACGATAATTTCATCTGTGACATTGTGAGGTAGTGATTTGAGAAGTTCTGAGAAAATTATTTCCGAAAGATTTTTAACTACTTGATAAATATCTGGTCGCGAATTTCTATTGTGATTCCAGCAATCTATTAAATAGATGAAGTTTACATAAACAATTTATTGATCATGTAGTTAATATGAATGATTTAATAAATTGTAATAAAGTTGTACCAGTATATAATTCCTCGTATTTAGTAGGTATTCCAGGAATAATAATTTCTCTTTTCCTCTTCACGATTTTATCTAATAAATCAATGTTTAATGGAGATTCCATTTTGAAAGGAGGACTGTCACTAGAAATTTCCCATAGTATAATTCCCAAATTGTAAATACCAAATTCTTATTTTTACAAATTGTGTTGAAATTTTCCAAATATTGAGGATCTATATATTGAATTATATTGAATTGGACCGATAATATTTGTAAGGAATCTCAAAGATTCGGGTATGATTTTTGTTGATCCAAAAACATTAAGTTTAATGCTCTCAACATGAATAAGAATATTTTCAGAATTATAATTAAATTGTAAATTCAATCAAAAATCGATAATTAAATTCGAAATAATTAATTCGTCAAATTTAAAATAAGAAATCTTCCATGAATAATGTCTTTAGAATGTAAATGCATCAAAACATTTGCAATTCGTTTAGCAAGATTTAATTTAGCATTCCAATTTAATTTTTGGAAATTTGTTTTTCAGATACTGACGAAGATAACCATTATTTGTATATTCAAGAATAATCATATAATCGTTGGTATTCTCTAAAAAAAAAAAAAAATTAAATTAAAAAATTAATTATCGGCTCTTAAAAATTGAATATTTTACACCTTATAAATTAAGAATGTTATCATAAAATTTTAAAAGTGGCTTTATAAACGTTTTCACCAATTGAATTTACATTCAAAAATTCGGAATATTGATAAAATCGGATATTTTTTCAATAATTAAATTGTGCATCCATGTCTCCCATTCTCTTATAACATCATGATTTTTTTCTTGAGATAAGAATGTTTATTTGGAAAATAGATTACGCCAATCAATTTATACAAGTTACCGTATCACACGCGAGACGGTCACTTCGTGTTCATTTAATCCTGTTTTTATCAGCAGCAGAATAACGAAATACAAAAATAGTAACGAATGGAACAACAAATACATTCTAAATTTCTTTCATGTGACGTTCTCTAGAATTTTATTTTACTCCGTAAAAAAATATTATAAGTTTCCATGTTCCAATCAGATTTCTTGTTATAATGTCACAAATGTGCAAATACTTTCACCTATCAGTCTCAAAGTTTGTCTTTCACAAACTACTTTTTTAAATACACTCTATCTGCCAGTAGATCAAGCAAAACATTGTTACCATGAGTTTCCTCCACTCTAATAATTTTTATTATTTATTATTATTTTATTTCTTATTTGTTATTTATTTTGTTAGTATAATTATTTAATATATTT